TAAATGTGAATATTGGTAAAATCATTATTGCATTCATTTGTCCACTGTTTGTCCACGTTTGTCCACCCTCCAAAAAAAAGTTATACACAAAAAAAGATTGTAACATCCCGAAGTGATTATTTTTCGAGAAATGAAAAATATCAAAAAAAAAAACGAAGAACAACTGAATAAGATTAAAAGAAGACGAAAATCATCATCTTCATGACTATTTCAAGAAGCGGGAAAAAATAAAAAAATAAAAAAAATACGAAAATCAATAATTTAAAATGAAGACAGTTAATTAAAACTAACGGAAAAAAAGGAAAAAACAAATAATAATCTCATAAATTAGACAAATCCGGAAAAAAATTTTAAGGATGTATAAATGCTTAAATTTTTTAAAAAATTAAGTAAAGAAAGAACCTACGTTATAATTTTAGGGGGATTAACAAACCAGTTTGGTCTTTTCCAGATTTGTTTGTGTATCTCCAATAATTCTGAATCGCGCGCGTAGCGCGCGCAGGAAAAGGCTAGTATTAATAAAACTACAATAAAATATAAATTAAGTTTGATTAATTTTACTGAAGATACATGGTAAAAATCTTCAAAATATTGTATTGTAACTATTATATTTTCAGGGTAAATTTTAAGAAATGATTCTTTCCGTATAGAGAAGCAATTTCCTCTATCTTAAATAAGTTTTACGCGTCACTTTATTTTACGTTATTATTGCTTTATTGATTTAGTACTTTCCTTAATTTAAGAAATAAAGCAGCTTTCCTGAATTAGTAATCGCACGTATTCCATATGTTAATATTCTAATTTGCAATCGATTTATTCTTAATGAAAACCGAACACCGTCATTTCTTATAATCTTTCAATAATCGATATTAAGTAATTAAATCTTAAATTAAGACTCTACTTAAGCCCACTGGAAGTTAATTATGGAATAAGATTCTTTTACTTATTAGCTTCGAATTTTGCTTAGTAAAAAAATTTATTTTCACTCTTTCGGAAATTATACATTGGCATTTTATATACACGGTGTCCTATTAAATAATAATTTGATAACAAACTCTGAAGATGAGATAGAATTGAAATTATTCTAATGCAAAAATGAAATTGCAATTTGTTCTCAAGTTACAAGCGATCGAAGTTGGCCAATGCCACGCATACAATTTGCATAAAATTAAATCCGCAAATGCTTATTTCGATTTAATACTTATCTATTATTGATTTTTTACAGCTATATATGAAGTAGTAATTTCTGCAACAAAAATATCTTTTCGTTCAAAATAACGTAAACACCTTTCAAGGAATGAACTATTGCTTATTAACAAATGTTACATGCAACAAGCAATAGTTCATTTGTCCACTGAAAAAGAATCTGGTAGTATCTATTAAATATCGAGTGAATAATTCCGATCAAATATTTGGTTAATATAACCAAAAATTTTAGTTTTCTAAATATTTAGTAAGCGTTACCAAACATAATAATATAATCCATCGTTTTTAATAATACTTACTAAATATTTAGAAAAGTAAAATTGAACTACTTCCATGTCGATTTATGATTATACTAACCAAACATTTGATTGAAATTATTCACTCAATATTTGATAAATATTACCAGATTCTTTTTTCAGTGAATAAGCGAATATTTACCGCTTCGTGTGTCGCGCACATCTATATATTCCTTCAAACGCAATTTATTTTTGACGATCAGAAAAAATGATCAACTCTGATGCAAAACTCATACAAGTCTTACGAGCGTATCGTTGGGCTGGAGACATCTTGCTCGATTTATTCATTCGAACAACAATTTGAATCAATCGAAAACGAGAATCACAAGATATCTTTTCACTACGAATTCACGGACAACGCAGTTATTGCTTACTCACATTACTTACGAAAAGTACTTGGCGTCGGCTTGGCATCGTATATCTCGTGTAGTACTTTAAATTTTCGGGTATTTAAATGTTCAATGTAGGCAAGGTAATGCACTAGTAATCTTGAATCGGACAATTCAAGCAACGAAAAGCTGCACAGTATTCGCGTAGATCGTCTATCAGTTCAAAGTAAACAAATTCGAAACAGGAATATATTTGATATACGTTTATTTTAAAATACATTAAATATTTTAAAAGTACTAAACGGCTGACGCGCAGCATACCTATACTGTTTTATAAGTATGATGATCTTGGTGCGATAAGATTCAAGGCCGGCAGGCGATCGTTGCTTATCAATGTCCCATTATCTTTCGTAACGTGAACGCGATTTATTTCTATAGGACCTTCCTTAGGATCGTATACGATTAATAATTTCCACGAGCGTGCCTATGTTAGCGACAGTGACAATCAAGGTAAAAGCACACGATAGACAAATTCTACAATATGCTCTTTGTTTCCTATTTCTTGCTGTTTGTCTCTTGCACTATTGCCTTTTTTTTGCCCAAAAGGCAAGAGACAAACAGCAAGAAACAGGAAATAAAGAGCATTGCAGAATTACCAAAAATGATGGCTGTTGTGTTGTTCATGGAAAACTATAATAATTGTTTCAGATCCACATCCGCGGTTACATGCATTGCCAAGGAATCTCGACAAACGATATGACAGTTGGCTGATATTTTGTCTAGCCTGTGCTTTTGCTTCTACTCTTACGTTGCTAACAACGTAAATTTCTTTATTGAAAAACGTAGATTGAGCATAATTCTTTTTCTCTTCGAGTTCCTTTGCTCCATTCATTCACGAAACGTCGTAATAATTAAGAGCATCATATTTTTGTATAATTTCGCATCTTTTCGCATTGTTCTCGATGCATGGTAAAGTGCACATCACGTGCGATTAACGATGAGAGAGTGCCATGTAAAGTGCCGTCGTCGTGTATCCTGTGATTAGCGTACGCGTGATAATTAACTGTGTGAATATCTTCTTGCAAGTACACATCTTCCGAGTGTCAGGAAAAAGCAGCTTACCGAAGAAGTATTATTAGTATTTATTTATGCTTTGTTGCATAAATAAAATATATACATTTTATTATACATATACATACACTACTAAAAAAATTAAAGGATTACTTGTTTCACACTGCAAGAATAGGCAGATTTCGAGATATAATTTCGTCAAAAATCATCGTATCGAGATGTTTAAAAAAGCATCTTAAAGATTGAAATCTCTACTTTTCAGGCCGGTTCTTCAAAAAACGGTCTTACTGATATTTCATGAAGTTACACAAACATAAATAAAAGTGCATCAAACCAACAATCTTTTACGAAATTTTCTAAGTTCCATGGAGCCAAGTAAAAATTGTGAACGAATGCGGTTTACGCAGCTTTCAAAAGAATAAATCTTTAGCTTTAATTTGCTTTTTTATCAACCTCTACGATTTTTTTTCCCAC